TGTAACGAGGTTGTGTGTGTGTGTCAGGAGATCGAGCGTCTGAAGAACGAGAAGCCGACGTGGGAGCGTCAGACTCGCTGGGCCGGGCTGAGGTCGGTGTTTGGGGGTCAGCCGTCCCTGATGTGGATCAGCCCCTTTGCTGGACTCAGACTGCCGACCTTTCTCCCCAAACGCACCTGGAGGGGCGGGGCAGAGTTCTCCGTCTGACACTGCACAGCGTTAGAACCAGAACCACGGTGGTTCTGCCTCATGGTGCTGGTGGACCTGCAGAGTCCAGTTCTTCTGTACCTGGAGAAACCCGGTTCAGACTCTGCTGCGGTCTCCATCTCTTACCTTCCTCTTGGGTGGAGGAGCATCGTCCCAACTGGGAGTACGTACAGACCTTCTTCACAGCAGCCATTTGACATTAAACAGTCGGGTCAATAAAGGTGTTGTGATACTGATTAGGGTCAGGGTGCTGCTGCCTCACTGGAAAGGCTCTGCTACACTAAATGACGAGGCCTTAATTAGTATCACGGCTGTGTTTACCCTACTATTTCATGTCCAAATGGCTGCTGTGAAAAAGGGCTGTGTCTGGAGGCAGATGCTGCTGGAGAACCAGTGAACAGATTCAGACTCAGAGCCTGAATGTTTTTTTAAATGTGCTCGTTAAGATGCTGGATCTTCTGAGAGCCGTTACTGACCGCAGAAACCATGTGACCACCGATCAAATGTTTGAGAACCACTGCTGTTATTAATGTTTGTGTGTGTGTAGACGTTGAGCTGCACTGTGTGCGTCAACATGAAGCTGTAAAGGCACAATCAAATGAAATATTATACAGTTGTTATTATTATTATTATACTTATTATTCCTTTCTGTTGGTTTTAAATTACGTATATTTAAATGGTCCCTGTGGATTTTTCTTGTAATCAGTCATAAGTTTTCTCTACCTGTGTATTTTAAATCATTTTCTTTGTCCTTTGTTGCCACATTGTTGTGTTTCTTGCCCATTGATCAGTGGAAAACATTGGCAGGAGGGCGTCACCCATTATAAACACACTATAGCACTCCTAGTGGTGAGAAACTCTACAGGAAACCTTTAAGAAATCATGTTATTAAAATAAAAGTGTGCTAAACAAAAATCACTTTCTTCCTTACAAGCAGTATTTTTAATGGTGGCTTCAAAGCTCCCATCAATAAATCAGACAGATTAAATCTAAGCAGCAAGCTAAATCTGCAGTTCCTCAAACGGCCACTAGAGGCTGTCTCCAGCAGTGAGTCAGTCTCACAGAGTTTAGTTGGTTAGAGGTTAGTTGTACAGAGTCAACTGTACAACTAACCTTTAAATCACATTAAGGCTTAAAGTTATGTATAATTAGGGGCCTGGTTGCTTTGAGTGACAGGTGGCTGTTTTCAGTAACCAGGCTTCATTCAGTCAGGACTGCCAAGATGGTGCTGGGCCAGAGCCGACCTCACTGAGCTTCACTGCGGCTCTCGTGGTGATGACACGGAGACTACAGACATTGTTAATTAAACAGTCTCCGTTTCAATCCCTAAAAAAGTCATGTTGGTTTTTTTCCTTTGGATGTTGGATACACAACTTTTTTGTATCGTCATCCTGAACCCCTGGTTTTTGTTTGTTTATGTGAGCGCTCTTAGTGAGCCGAGAGGATGACGCTGGTAAAGTGTTAGTTAGCTACAACCATTGAATGCCACTAAATCCTGGTCCTTTAAATCCCCAAACGTTCCACTGAACAACAAATCTGCTCTTTCCTGAGGCCTGACGCTCTCAAAGTGCCGTTTCTTTGTGACTTTCACTGTTTGGAAAATGTGAACCTAGCTGTTAAATGTGTGTGCAGTGCCATTGAACCGCCTATGGAGCATCACTGAGCTCTTGTTTGACATTGCTGGAGAACAGGAAATACCCCAGGACGACCACGATGACCATCAGACTGACGGTTGACGGACTGAAAGTGTTTCTACTGCTTCTTTATTGATTGACAAACTCCTCTTGAAGTCCTGCTGACTTTTTGTCTTCTAAAATGTTATCATTTTTTAAATTGGTCTTAGCACTTTAAAAGGTTTAAATTTAAACCTGATGAGACGTAAATACAACCTGGCATGAGTTTTAAAAAGAGAAATTGAGAATCTGTTTTCACAGAATGTGTCCAAGGTTGGAGTGGTTGTATATTTGTTTTATGAGATTTCCGAGCCTTCTTTATGTTCATCTGTTTCCATTTTTCAGACACTTAACCGAGTCCCTCTCTACCTCTTTAAAGAACCTCAGCTTCTGTTTTTATTTAGTTTAAACTCTTTTGTCGTAGTCAGTTTGATTGGACGGTCACTCCATAGACGGAGACGTCTCGATGAATAAACTGACCTCAGTTAGATTTACTTTGGATATTCCTGCTCCTCTGTTTTGAGGTTTGCCGCTTTGGTCCAGACTGAAATATCTCAACAACTTTTGGAAGGAATCCCATGAAATTTGGGTCAGACATTAATGTTGGATACAACTCAATTTGAAGGGTCCTTCAAAATCAATATTGATGGATTTGATTTGGTTCAATAGGAGAGGAAAAAATTAATGCTTCTATAGTATTGAGAGAGTTAAATGCATCATATTGTTGCTGTTGATTAACAGCTAATCCAGCTGTTAGCCAGATGTAGTGGAACAAAAACTACAGTATGTCCCGTCATACACAATAAACTCTTTATTTTGATTTTGTTTAGAAAAGTAAATGATTTTACTCATTTGTGAAAAGGATCTTCAGTTATTTGCCAGGATGCAACAGTTCTTATATAATGATAAGACAATATAATGGTTTTAATTTGGAAACCAGACATTGCTTCTTATTTCTGAGCACATTGTCTTCCAATGATTTAACTAGCTAGCCAATGCAGTTATTAAAATAAATTAGATGCTAAATAATAATGATATCAATCAGTGGGTAATACTGCTATATTGTAGCAGTAAGTAGTATACATTGTACATCAGCAATAAATATACATTTATTACATTAAATGATGTGAATCTTTCTGTAGAAAATCAAATGGTTGTTCTACTCAGTGTGATTGACAGGAGAGATGATCAGAGGG